AAGTATATTGTTATGTGCAAAGATGATGTGATTTAGATATTATGTGAAATCTAAGACGAGTTCGTGCTTAAAATTTTCCAAGTAAACGATATGACAATTTTTAAAATTTGCTACACTGATTTTATAAAGTTGTCGTTTGCCGCAAAACATAAAGATATGGCATAGTACAGTGCCATCAGCCCATTTCTAGCATGCTGAATGTTAACGTATTTTGAGTACGTGTTTTTCTTAAACTATTACAATCTATTTTAATTGTTTTGCTGACCTAAAGTCCGTAACACACTACCACAGTGCACCTCAAGGAAGGTGCACCGCACTACCGTACCGCACGCAAATTTTAAACTTAACAAGGGACCGCCTGATAAAAAAAAAAACACCTACAGTACATTTATTCGTTAATGAAATTACAAACGTCATTCCTTGTGTTCCTCTCTAAAATCACTTAATTAATAAATATTTAACGAATTTACAATAGTGTTTTACTCACTGCGGAATAAAACTATTTTATTTAAATAGTTCCGAAGAGATTTTGTCGATAGCCTTTTTCCCGAAATATCTAAACAGAATGTCTAAATATGTTTTGATGACATAATATTTTAAAGAGGTATTTATGATTAGTGTCATGATGAATNGCCCTAATGATTTCTATACTTTCCCTAAAATAAAGAATAAATTGCGTGGACAGAGATTTTCATCACCTGAAGAAGCTGTGGACGCCTACAAAACGGCCATTTTGGAGACCCCAACTTCCGAATGGAATGGTTGCTTCAATGATTGGTTCCATCGTATGGAAAAATGTGTCAAATTTCGCGGAGAATATTTCGAAAAGCAATACCTAAATACATTTTTAAATAGTAATGTTGTGTCACTTCGTTAATTCGCGAAATTTTCAGTGCCGCCCTCGTATAAGAGACGTACTGGTAATTTCTTATCTGATAATTTAAAAGAGAATAGAGTGGTAAAATCGAAACAACTACTGAAGCGGTACGCAAAGGGAGGTCATAGAAAAATTTTGTTTACGGATGAGAAAATTTTTACAATTGAGCAACATTTTAACAAACAAAATGACCGTATTTATGCTCTAAGGAAGCTTCCCAATTAGTCGACAGAGTGCAACGTGGGCACTATCCGACTTCAGTGATGGTTTGGGGGGGTATTAGCTATGAAGGAGTGACTGAGCCATACTTTTGTGAAAAAGGTATCAAAACATCGGCACAAGTGTATCAAGATACCATTCTTGAAATAGTAGTGAAGCCCCTTAACAACACCATGTTCAATAATCAAGAATGGTCCTTCCAGCAAGACTCGGCGCCAGTTCATAAAGCTCGGTCTACGCAGTCTTGGTTGGAAACGAACTTTTCGGACTTCATCAGAGCTGAAGACGGGCCGTCGTCTAGTCCCGATCTTAATCCGCTGGATTATGATTTATGGTCAGTTTTAGAGAGAACAGCTTGCTCTAAACGGCATGATAATTTGGAGTCCCTAAAACAATCCGTACGATTGGCAGTGAAAATTTTTCCCATGGAAAGAGTGCGTGCTTCTATTGATAACTGGCCTCAACGTTTAAAGGACTGTATTGCAGCCAATGGAGACCACTTCGAATAAGCTTTTTATACTTTAAATTGTTTTATATTTATATATTAAACTAACACAGCGTAAAAGTAATAAATGTTATTTGCAATAGAAATTTTTGTTTTTTCCTTTGTCTCAGTATTTATGGCAAGACTAGGTATCTTTAGACGTAGACAGGTATGTATATCAGTCTCTTGTACTCACAACACAGGGAATCGTAAATTGGGGCCAGATGACCGTGCGTGATTTGTTCCCAGTTATTTAATTATTTATTTAAAGGTACAATAATTAAAAACACGACTGCTGTGGTCGACGTAGGTTGGTACCTACAAAATCCCGCTCATTAATACCTAATTTCCCAAAATGGAGTGGGATGGGATTATATATGAATATAAGTTTCTTTATTCCGACATAACTTTCTTACTTAACGCGTAAGACTATAATTATTTTGGCATGGCAGTCGCATTTTACATTATTAGGTATACATATACTTATGTATTTAACGAGTTTTTATCACGATAGTTAGGTTAGAAATGTAGAAATCCTGCTCATTATTACTCAATTTAGAGGTCGCACAACGTGCAAATTTGTCTTCAAAACTTATTCAAGGTCTTTATTTTATATAATAGAGATGTGTAAATAGGCACGTTTTTTTTAAGTTTAACTTCTTTAAGCAAGTTGAGAGTAACATTGAACTCGCAACAAATTCGTTACGGTTAGAGAGAAAAAATACAATTTAGGAAGAGCGAGAGTGAGAAAATAGACAGAGCGTCTCGAGAATCACTCGACCGTGGAGAGAGGGAAAAGACAAAGATAAGTCGTTTAGCTTAGTGACATCTATTGGATTTCATATAAACTATTACATTGTAAGTGGTGTGAACAGTTTAGTTATTAAAATATTTACAGAGACCGGTTAAATAAAAGGACTCGTTCGGTAATCATCCTTAGCCCGGTGACGCTGACATGGTCTCTCTAAACCATTAGCTTAGGTAGGAAAAAAAAAGTAATCATCGAATACCGGCAATAACTTCTTTCTAAGCTAATGTTATATCTCGAAGTACGTTGAAGTTTCACTTCTGTGACGAGCACCAAGTTGCACGCGCATCAGTTTTTTTTTTTATGTTGGGTCCGACGAGCTCATTTTCCACTTGGTGTTAAGTGCTTACCGGAGCCCATAGCAATCAACAATGTAAATGCCGCCATCTACATGATATGAGTTCTAAGGTCTCCGTTTTTAGGTACACCGGCCGCCCCACCCTTTAAGCCGAAACGCATTACTGTTACACGGCAGAAATAGGCAGAGTGGTGATACCTACCCGTGCGGACTGACGAGACGTCCTACTGCCTGTAATTACACAATATGAATTTTTGCGGAATTGGTCTTTATTAAACTATTTTATTATTATTGTTGTTACGATTATTAATTTATTTTCTCAGACTTATAATTGAAACGAAATATCATAATATTTTAGATAATATTCGATTTTTTTACTGAATCACACGACTGTCAAATTTTAGTGGGCACCTGGCAAACCTTCAATCCTGCAAAACTCTTGTTCTAACAATTGTATGTTTATTTTCTTTATGTCTCGTGATGTTAATTGGTCATCCGAGCTTGACTACATGACACGAATACTACACACGTTGAGAGGTGCGTAGCCGTCTAATTCCAACCTACAAACTTGGACGCAGGTGTCCTTTAAAAAGCTACTCTTAGTAGGCGACGGTGACTACCAGTAATCAGATCGACCGTATCCTTGTATCCCGTATCCAGACGAGTAGAGGCCCATCTGCTGAGGAGCACTCACTGATGCTCATAGATATCAAAAACTGCAGGAGCATAGCTGAGCTAAGTACCTCTTTCCTAACTACCTTTTCTACTTCTTCTTTCTTTATAAGGCATTAAGTGTGCTTAGTGCGAGTTTTTTAACGTTCTCGATAGCGTAAAAGCTAACTCAAATTTGTATGCAGTTGCAATAGCGCCCCTAGCGGCAAACGTAGCCAAACGTTTCAACTGCATAGAAATTTACTCGCACTAAGCACACAGTTTCTGGTGGTATCATTCTTGCCACTTTCAGTGCGAATTTAAAAAATATAATAAATATTAAAACACATATTCTGTTGTCGGTTGTCTGTAAAGTCGGCTTACTGACGATAGTTGAACGTGACAACGTCATAAAAAAATACTGATGGAATGGTTTCATTTTTCAATTATCGCAATTATCGTTGCTACGAACAATTGACACCACATTCACTTTTCACTGAACTTCATACTTGACGAAAACATGTAAATGTATTATTGTATAGCAGCTGTCCACACGAATGCATCGCTCACTCAAGTAGGAGAAAGACAGATGTCGAACGCTGCCGAACGCGGAGGCCGATTGTGCCTCTTTGTCGCTCGTTGTGCGCTCTCGCTTGCACTTCAAGCCTTAAATGGAACGCCTCAGAGCGAGGTAACGCTGCATGAGTCATGTTTTTTCGTGAGTGCAGCCGGCTCACTTAAAGTTAAATTTATATTAAATTATAAGACGTTGTCACGTCAAAAAATGATACCGCTCAGAATGAGGTGAAGTTGATATATTTGAGATTGTAATCAATTAAAATGAAATGAAATGAGATGAGATGAAATGAAAATGTTGTGAATTTACTATACTAGTGTTCTTCAGTAGAACTCGAAAAATCACGTCTGGCTACTTTGTTTCATTTTCAACACTTGTGCATTCTCAAAAATGCTAAACAGTGAATGAATCACCGCCACTACACATTTAAACCTCAAGAAGTACTAAAATAACAAAACAATTCATACAACCTTTTTTTATTGCTTAGATGGGTGGACGACCTCACAGCCCACCTGGTGTTAAGTGGTTACTGGAGCCCATAGACATCCACAACGTAAATTCGCCACCCACCTTGAGATATAAGTTCTAAGGTCTCAGGTATAGTTACAATGGCTGCCCCACCCTTCAAACCGAAACGCATTACTGCTTCACGGCAGAAATAGGTAGGGTGGTGGTACCCACCCGCGCGGACTCACAAGAGGTCCTACCACCAGTAATACCTCAATAAACCTCATATTATTATCTCGTCTTCACGTTAAAGAGTCATATCGGAGAGTTGTTAATTTTTTTCAATTTAAACTTTTAAATATAGTAAACGACTAAACGTTATAAGTGCCAAAGTCTATTAAGTGTTTGGTTCTGTGGAATTGTGTAAAAGAGACGCTATCGCTGGACTTATTCAAAAAAGTGTATTGAAGTATCAATAAATACTGCTTTTTCATAAAGAAGTTCTTCGAAGATTATTAGCTTGTCTAATAATATTAGATTGTCTAGAAAAGCCATAAATTTTAATGCACTGAAAAAAGTTAAAACTTAATTTGACAGCTGACAATTTACAAACATCAAAATACAAGTACAATATGGCGCTAAACGGCTATACCTAAGTGCTATTTGTGATTCTTGGTTATTATTTTGATTTTAATAAAGACTGACTGATAAACTATGGCTGGATTTACTGAAAATGCATTGGTGCGGAAACTTCAAGATTTAAATTCTAGTCAACAAAGTATTCAAACATTATCTTTGTGGTTAATTCATCATAGAAAACACCACGCTGCCGTTGTTAAAACTTGGCTAAAAGAATTACTTAAAGGTACAGAACTTCCTACATAAACAGTGTTTTAAATGGCATAATTAAATGGGATTATCTTTTAATTATTTATTCAGTATTTCACCTCATGTTAAATAATGCACCGCAAAACGATTAACCATTTCGTAACCAAGTTTTAGAATAATCTAGACTACCGTCCTGATTATTTGCCTGATTTCGAGACTACTGAATCTTTACTGCTGTCTTTGCTCCAGACAAAATCACATAAACTCCATTCTGTAAAGTTTTCATTGAAGAAAATTAGAATTAAAAATATTTTGTATCAATCGACAAACTTAGATGGAATAACCGCAGTATACTTAGTTTCAACGTGTTTTCTTGTCATGCATTGCAATAACAAACCTCGTATGCATAAACTGCCAAAATATAATGTGATCTCTGTCGATTTTTTCGTTAGCTTTATTTTTGTTGTGTTTATTTCAATATGAGCGTTATCGGAATGCTTACAAGTCACACAATAAGAAATATAGACGGTAATTAGATTTTTCTAGTTCAACTGTAAATTAAAGAAATCAAATTAAACTTTTCAACAGCCAAAGACAGTAAACAACTCACATTCATGTATCTTGCTAATGATGTAATACAAAACAGTAAGAAAAAGGGACCTGAATATGGAAAGGAGTTTGGGGAAGTTCTTGTAGAATCATTTCAACATATGGCCAAAACTGGAATGGAATCTAAAACAAAGCATTCCTTGCATAGAATATTGAAGATATGGGAAGAAAGAGGTGTATATGATGCAGAAAAAATTAAGGACTTTAAAGATGCTAGTAAGTAATGAATTGTTACTTTCTCATTGTTATTTTTAGGTCTACTGCTCTTATTTACTTGTGGTGTCAGAATGAAGTTCTTTATCGATATATCAAATTATTACAAAAAATATATAAAAGGTTTTGGTATGATTCTGAAAAATACAAATGACACCAAGCATATGTCAAAAAGAAGGTGATGGTATTTATGTTATCTCTATGGACTCTGATAACCTCTTACCACTAGACGCCATTACAAAATTATGTGCAATGTCATTAAATTAGTGAAAACATATAAGTGTACATTTTACTGAACCATGAAATGATAACACCCATTTTATAAAATACCAAGAACAGTTTTGCAAGTCTTTGTGCCTTAAGAATAAATTACTAAAGTATCTATATCAAGCGAGGCAATTATTTGGTGTTGAAATCTGACAGGGAGGGACAAGTTATTTTAAGAAAATATTTGGGTGTTTAGTAACATCAGCCATGATGAAGGAAGTATATTGTGTAATAAAAATAAAATTGCATAATTTATACATTTGTGTAAATGCTGGTGGTGGGGCATATTCTATGCTCGTATAGGTATAGTTAACATCTTGTCTATTTCTGCACTAAAATAGTCACGCATTCGGTTTTGAAGAGTAGAACAGTTAATGTACATTAGAATTGTGACTACAACTTAACATTTTTATTTTACATTGAGTTATCTATGTACTCCTGCAACCACTTAACACTAGACGAGCCATGAGTTTTTTACAGATCTTCATAAAAAATAAACTAGCACACATTAATTAAAACTCAATTGATGTTAGTTTGTGTGCAAACACAGTATTATATACTGCCAAATACTCATTTATTAGAAGTTCAAGTAAACTTGTGAATTAACCTAAATGTAACTTTAGTTGCCGGCATCGAAGCACCCGTCACTCCGAGCAAAGTTAGCAAACGTAAATCGACTGATACAGAAGTTAAGGAGTCTACCAAAAAACATAAAATAGAATCTAGATCTAAGACTGAACGAAGAAGAAGCGAGACAAAAGTTGAAGTTGACGGGCAAATAGAAACTCATACGACGTTGAGTCCCAAAACACCTCCTGGAGACCCACCAGAGCCTGAAGAGTTGATTAAGGTAATTTTCACTAAAAATAAATTAAAGAAGCAAAGGTTTTTTCCATATAAGACAGCCTTTCATAATTGCTTTTAAATCAAAGTGACTTTACCACAGCAGACTGCAAAAAACTCAAGTCTTGCCCTTTTCCAAATATAAATTAAATTATATAACAACAGAAATATAAACTCACTACATATACAATAATAAAAAATACTTGAATTATCTTCTGGTTCAGGCTTGCTTTACTGACTGCAGGATAAGGATCTGGTTGGCAAAATATAACGGGATAGGGTTGATGACCACCACATTAGTGAAATGTTATTAAAAAAAATACCTAAGAGCTTTATTTATTTCAAAAATCAATAATGAATAGTGAGGTGATTGTGTCCCCCAATTGAAGAGAATTGAGACTTTATTTGATCTTTAAGAAAGATCAAATAAATTCGAGTAACATATTCGACTTCAGTAACTCTATCCATCTAAACGGCTCTTAACTTCTTTCTATTCTTTTTACTTCTATTCTATTACTTCCAGGCTCTTTTAGAATTAGAATCAAGTGCATCCAGTGATGAAGCTGTCAGAGAACGTATTGCATCTCTGCCTCCTGAGGTCTCTGAAGTTCAGTTATTATCTAAATTAGAAGGTAAATTTCCTATTTTTACATTCAATTCATTTAATTTAATTACATATTTTCAGTTCAGTTTACTTGTAAAGATTAGAAAAGCTTTAAAAGACATAAATTTGAATTATATTCAGATATGAAGCAGTCTAGATAATACACTAATGAATACAACAACAAAATTTACCATTGAAATTATTTCAGATAAAGAATCTGCCCTGAGCCTAAGTGCAGTAGTGAATTCAGCAGTAGAATTACTAGCTGAGTATAACTTGAGGCTAACTGAAGAATTGGAGAAGAGAAGGAAAGTGGCTGGAATGTTAAGGGACTTTGCACAAGCACAACGGGACCTTGCTAAACAGGCAGAAACTAGATTAGAGGTAAGATAACTGTTTTTCTGATAATAAGAATTCATGTTTGGAGATTATTAACCTGCTTAACTGCAATGTTACACAATGCCTGTTATGTTGTTAGCAGCTAGGAGCATGCATGAATGCACCATTTACATTACCTATACATCTATTAAGAAAAAAAAATTTTTTTGAGAGACTTTGCCATTCCTTATTTCAAATTTCAACATCTCACTTTCTCTCAAATTTGCAACGTAATATTTTAAGTCTTTTTTTGTTATTCGTTAATAGAAATAAGAATGAACTGATGATTTGGAATCTCTGGGTTTACAGAGGGGCTTCGGTGCTCTCTCTTTTTTGGAGTTCTTTGTTGTTGTCATCTCGGTTTTATCACTAAACTGCATTCTACTGAAGCTGAGCATGTGGAGGGCTATAAGCTTGTCTGCCTATTAAGGCAATAATATCTTTCAATTTGCTCCAGTAATACAAAGATGACAATGAACATGTTTTCTTATCTGAATAAATGAATATAAGACCTAGTACACGTAGCAAGTGGGAGCTCATCTTACTGGTTCCAAATATTTCTTTTTGTTATATTTTATACTATAAATATATAATATTATATACAGAATATAACTTTAGTTCCATATTATCAAAGCTAATTCTATCATAATAATTATGCTCTTATACACATTAACAGGAATATATATTAATAATCCCTTTGAAAGAAATGTAAGAGCTGAGAATTTAGGAGAATAATTTCCGGATAATTATGATACATCACCATCTTCAATCCTCTGTGAATAATGCATGAAAGTGACATTTGTAGTTTCGAGTAAAAGTAACTATCTAAATATTGTATTCTCGTTTTCACCTTCCAAAATCAGACTTGAGCTTTTTAACGAAATTTAAGGAAGGCTGGTTTATTTTACTCATAAAATGTATTTGCTGTATATCTAAAAATAGAACAAGGAAAATAGACAATTTTAATCTTAAAAGGTTCCCTATGGATAGGATCTTAAATCATGATATCATCATGATCATAGTTCATACACAGTATTATTTTGGTTTTATGTCTATGGGCCCTGGTAACTACTTAACACCTGATGGGTCGTAAGATCGTTCACTCGTCAATGCATTAACAGAAACAAATGCTTGTATTGACTAAACTAAGTAAGCGTTTCCTATCGAGTTTGTACCGTATACATTTCTGTGCACTCACTTCTGTGACATTGAGACTTATTAGTAAAAGGTGTGTACTAATTTCTCGGCTACCCCACTTTTATTAATAAAATACTTATGACCATAGTAACTCATGACACTGAGTTAAGCTTTTGCAATAAAAAGTCTAAAGGTTTAGAATTGTGGTGATCGTGAGTCATTACTATGGGAACAAGCTGTTTGATTTATTTTTCAGGAATACAATGTGAAACTCCAAAAAATATATGCAGTCAAAGCCGAAGTGAAGCATCATATTGAGAACCTCCCTGACGTCTCTCGCTTACCGGACGTAACCGGAGGCCTCGCGCCCCTTCCCTCCGCCGGCGACCTGTTCAGTGTCTGAGAAATATTGGATTTTAATACACCGTGATTAAAAAAAAAACATTTGACAGTTCCGATTAATGTCAACTGTTATGGCAAACGGTTATGTACACACATGCACCTACCACAACAGTATTATGGGCAGTACGTGTACAAAATTAGCTTAAAGCGTACGTAGAATCGTAGCTGAATACGCATGGCGTAAATATTAAACGTATAATTATATTATTTTCAATGGGATTGCAATATGTTAAAATAGGAATAATATACCAGACGTGACTTTTGATGGTAACTCAGTACAACATGTTTAGTATTCTGACATTAAATTTAAACACAACTCATGCTTACTTAAATTGTCTTTGCTTTTTGTGGGTAAAAATCAATAGAATGAATATGGAAGTGGTTTTTACACAAAATCACAACCAAGCAATATATTTCATTTATGTTGTGTGAGAACAGTATACTATAAATTTAGTAGTTTTGAAGTTTTAGAAAAAAAATACATGGAGTTCTGATTTATCGTTTGCGGGTCCTCGATAAATATGGAGTGGTGTCTATTTAAAGCAAATAGCTTTGAAATACTATTATATTTTTGTTCCCTAATAGATTTTCCCTATGTTCAAAAGAGACCCATACAGTACGAAGCTCTGTGGTCGTGAGTGACGAACGAAAAAATATGAATGTTAAATAAAATTGTTTAAAATACTAATTTGTTTCAATCATCGCCTCGCAAAAATCACGGTGTATTTAAATTATTTTTAATTACTTCAATAATCATAATTATATTAAAAGACTCAAAATAACAGAAACAATACTTATTTATCAAGCTATTTGATAAATTTAATTATGACCCAAATAAAGTATGCTGTTGTTAGAGACTAATAAATGTCTTATTTTTGTCGAACACAAATGCTAACAGACATGTAACATAATTTTGTTTTAGTTTCCTTAGTTAATATTAGGCTAATTAGTATCCTTGAAATTATGCATGAAAAATTCAAAATGCTATTGTTTTTAGAGTGTTATGTCCAATGATATGACATAAGTTTTTATTCAATATTTGATGAATATTTTCATTTAACTATTGTTCGCCTAATATTTTGTCAAGCCATTTTCTGCCGTGCATGAATTTTTATATTTAAAAATTGAAATCATATCCTAGATAGAACACACTGAGTTCTTGATGAATTCTAATTTATTTTGATAAAATTGTAGAAACATTACCACTGGCATACAACGACTTTGTGATCGATTGAAAAATATGAAAAAAAATCCGTTTGTTTTATAAATTCGGAAAAGTCCATTAAAAATCTTGATGGCGAAAATATAAATAGCGAAAAACGTGTAAGCCTTAGTAATGAAAAAGGTTGTTTTACGGATTCACTGGAAAAAAAAGTTCGTTATTGTAAATTGTAATTTGATATAGCTTTCATTACTACCTTTAACTGTTATATTCGAATAGCCAAAATAATTTGCACTGTAATTAACACCATTATGGACATTTCTTGGCCTATTAAGGTAGTCTAGGAACACTTGTAATTTAAGTTTCACAAGAGTGCCTAGTTCTATTCTACCCTCAATTATTTTGATTCACAACTTTGCAGCACTTTTTAAATGTAGGATATTTTCAGGGATTATTTAGATATATTGTAACTTAATATTTTTGGTGCATTTTTAACACAGTCAAATATCCTACTGTGCTGCATCTTCACTCTTTGGTTATTGAGGGTAGAAGTAAAGCCGGCTTTTGATTATGGAATGTAATATATATCACATCTTGAGCTATATATATTACATCCCGCGATTACTGTTCACACTCTAAGATATATAACATTCAAAACACGTCATCAGCTAACACGTCTGCACACGAACATCACCATTCAGAGGGCGAGGCAGGGGGAGACGCGGTATCGGGGGACATGAGGTAAAATATACTCCTTCAAAATATCGCATATTTGGTCGAAAATATATTTATAGTCTGGGTGTAATATATATCATAGCACAGTGTGAGCGGTCTCGTACAATATGTATGACGAACTATGAAATACTATATCTTAAGATGTAACATATATTTTATTATATCCCATAGTCAAAAGCCGGCATTAGGAGCACCATCTCAGTGTGTTAAAAAGTGTCCGTTAAAACGGAGCCAATTATGGTGGCGCCATAGTAGCAAGTGGAATGATTTCAAAAACAGCGCCATAAACGATTAGATTTTGATACAAAATTAAGAAGAAAAAAAAATATTTTCTACGTAAATACTAATATAAATAGTTGAGATTTTAAATACTGAATATTTTGTAGGTAACTAAACAAGTCACGAAATATATAAAAAATGTCAACCCAGCACACTTCACTGTTTAAAACTGCGATATTCATATCGTTTCCACTTCCTATACTAGTAGCGCTATTTCGGTGAGTCTTCCAACAAATACCTTGCTGTTTATAGATGGACATCCCTGGTTACAGTCAATTGACTTAATAATATATCATCACTAGAAATAACGAGTGATGTGCCTGCTCAGTTTCCGCGTAAATTGATATCTCGATGTGCTTACATTTTGTCGCGTGCGTTAATGATACGCCGTTCAATTAATTTGGGGACTCTATAGGCTTATTATTATTTTTAAATGAAGACACTTTCTGATTTTGTGTCTTGCACTAAACAAAATAAATCTATTTACCAGGTAATGTGTTCATAAATAAAATTACGTTAATTTCTTTTTAATAAATAACAGTGACAATGTTCGTCGTAGGTATGTTTTTTTTTTATTGCTAATTTGTTGATTATTATTTAGTACGTTTGTAATATGGCGCGGAAACAATTTATTTTAGGAAAATATCATATTGGCGTTTTCCGTTTTTCCAAATAACGTAGGTATATAGGTTATGTTGTTTTCAAGTGTTCGCGGCTGGCAGTGTACGCATATGTTACATACAGGGTGTAATGATATTGTTCTCGAAGACAAAACATATTAACCTAAAGTGAACGGAAAATATTCATTTACTAAATTAACCATGAGTTATTATTTTAGTAAGTTCATAATTCGTGTGAACTCAATGAAAAACATGAGTCACGATTTTGAACCGTTTTACATTTCAAAACAGTGAAATAAAATTTGTAGAATGTGATATGACTATTTTAGTACTATCGTATTATGAATCACCAATTCTACCGAATTCATTCTTGCCAAAGACTCCAGTAACATATTTTAATTATTAACGTTTTCATGGTTAAAACTGAGTTTTTGTTGGTTACGGGAATTTATTCAAATAAATAGTGTGCGTACGCATGTTTCAAGCTGTACTTCTTTGGTGTGACCGAATGATTTACCAAGATAACATTTGCAATTCATTTATTAATGAAATATAAAATTACACACATACCAAAATAGAGCGCAAAATCCCGATATACCATAATAACAAAGAAATAATGATTTGTCACACGTTATGATTACAGTGATCAGTCTACCCAAACGCGCCAAAACTTTAATTATAGGTTAAATCGGCGCGCGTAATTTTATCACAACCTAAAACTACATTGGTCAGTTTTGATAAATACACTAAAAGAAGTATGATTTCAAAAATGTTCATTGTAAAATTGTATGTACTAGAATGTCAGCCGGCAACTATCACGCATTTTTTTTTGTTTGCACTATGGCCCATTGCCCCCTGAATTAGTTAGGTTATTTGCCTACGATATTCGATTTTAATGTGCACGTATTTATAACGCCGTGTATCTGTGCACAACTTATATGAATGTTTGGAGGGCACGAAATAATTTTAAGTTAACGAATTGTAAGGGCTACCATTGGGGAATTTGCACAGTTTACTTTTTTTTTAGGTGCATTCATAATTTTCGTTTAATCAACGAAAATCATAAGGTGAATCCTCACACGAAGTTGCGTTAATTTAATGTGACGTCACTCCTTGAAACATGAACTCAAATAACGCTTTACATTTACAATACCACCACGAAAGAATATTGATAGGATCGAAAATACTTTCAAGCATCCTGGAAAATTCTTAATTATACCCACCAAATGAAGCACTTCATATGTCATGTATAGCACCTTAATATGTTTGCCTTGTTGTGAGTGGTTGACGTGAAAGAACTCTGGTGAAATGTTTTGTGATCTTCTGCACACACAACTGCTGCATGAGGCGTGAAATGAGCGACTGTAGGTGTTGTAGGTGAAATCTATACACGCTTGTATCGTTTATATTAAATAAATTTCCTTTCCATTCCGAATTTATATTGTTTTTTTGTGCAAACCATTCCAATAATGTTTTCGTAACTTTTCTAATAAAGAACTTGAATGACGCCTGGTAGTTTTACCAGTGTATTTAAAAACGAATTTGAAATGATAATTACATTAAAAAAGGTAGGTATGAATTACCTATGTGATGTTATGAATTACGACTCATAGAAAATTTAATTTCATACAGAATGTCTGTTATAGAAATTACGTCTCTGAAAATTGTTGTTCTAAATTAAGTTTATAATTTCAGTATTTAGTAAAAAGACAATTTGACTTAGAATAATTTTTGTTTTAAATATTGATGCAAGTTCCCCATTCTGGTGAATGTTTAGCTGCCACGGACTACAATGTAGCCATAGCTAGATTTAATGTATTGAATGACTAATTATACTATTTGTTACATTAATATTGTGTTTTAATCCTCCTAAGATTTTGATAATTCATTTCATTATTTAAAATTAAATAAGTCCGACATCATAATCAGTGTTTTGTTTCTTCAAGGCCAATTTACTTATAATTATACTTTATACTACCACTACTACTACTATACTTTATACTGCAATTTTTTTTTTCTTCTACTTATAAGCAATATAACTCAGGGTCTGGTGTTATCCGGTTACCGAAGATCACATAGGTACGACATGGCACTGTAAATCGCGTCGTCCATATTTGAGGTTGATCGAATATTTAATTGTGATAAATCACGGCAGCCTCAGTCATGATTGTTTCACAATAGAAAAAACTATAACAGTAACGAGGTTGGCCGTTAGTTTCAATATGAGAATTTTAATTTTTAAATGTAGGTATGAGAAACGGTTCGATTTAACTATGCTTCAAGTTCTAATCATCTGGCAACATTGTTTAGAAATACTAAAGTTTCTAAATATACGCATGGTATAGTGAATAGTGGTGTTATCGCGTATTGCTTGCGTGTGGGTACGTACGTACGGAAATATTACATTTCGAGCTGTTGAAATAATATGTTACTATTATCAAGCATTTATTACTCATTTACTTACTTAATAATGTTTCCGGAACACTTTTGCTTATCAATTTATTGCTGTGTCGACTTCGAAAATGATTCCGATTCGCTCCTTAAATTCTTCATGGAAAAACGTCAGCTAGGCACCAGACCTTTGAGCGAGAATTGCTGTAGAATTTGATTAAATACTTATTTTTGAAAATTTCAAACATGAAATGTATTTTATGCGTTAAGGATTGAGGAAATACAGTTTTTGTTTTTGCAGGTGAAAATGGTAGATATATTAAAGATTAGTTTCCCATATAACATCCACTTTAAAGTATTTTTTTCATATTGATTACGGAAACGAACCCCGTTCGCTAGTTTGTCCGGAAGTCATCCTTATAATGATTCATTTGACATTTCAAGGTTCCAGTCGTATGCGCCTTTAATTACTTCTATGAATTGAGGAAACGTGTCAGTTTCTGGATATCTTAATTTCTTTTTGGTAATTACTAACAATTTAAATATTATATTAGGTAGTAATTATATCAAAATTAGATCAGTTTCTTAAAAAATATGCTCCAGGTGAGGCTCGAACTCACAACCCCGGCATTCCTCACACGATCACTGCCTTATAAGTACCGTGCGCTAACCAATTGCGCCACTGGAGCTGCGTTTTGCAATGCCTAATTGAGCGGGCTATTTTGATGGTCAAATCAAATTGTTTAAAATAATTACCATGATTATTATTTATTTATTTATTTAAAAAAAGTACTGCCACATCACAAACATTTAACATTGAAAATAACTTGAACTATTTAACTAATGGCCTGATGCATGTGACAATAATGGCGTACATTACATTGGCAATTCATCGGCTCGAAGATGGAATACAATAATAAATAAATAAAAGAATACCTAGTGAAAACATACTTTGAAATAATAAAACTTATTTAGAATAATTATAGTTTTGTTAACTACAATCATCCATTGAAAATGTTTTTAACCGTTCTAATCATATTTACATACGTTACTTTCGATTGCCTTTGACCTAATCATCATTGACCTAATTAAACTGAAACTAGTGTGATTTTAATACAATATATTACATAGTTGGAAACTCGCTGTACTTATCATCAAACTATTTAATATTACATTAATTTGATTTAGATTTTATTTTAATAAAATGCAATTAAATACCTATTTAATATTAGATATATTTCTCTTTTTAAGCTAACTTCTTACTGTCATTTTGCTATATTTCTTCTTTTTGACAACCTCCATTAGGAGCAGCAATAGAGCTCAATCAATATTAGCTACATAATATTAAATAATTAATAATTGAACAAGCATGAGTGATACCGCTGTAAGTATCTTTGTAGATAGAAACAGCAAAACTAGTAGCACTTTTTGCCTCATGCAAGCACGGGCCTCTGCGCACGAGCAAGCGGAACCAAGCGATGCCAACTTTGATAAAAAAACAAAGCTATTGTTATAATAATAACAATAAACAAAGTTTCTATTGACCACAATTTACTTTTCAGAGTTGTGATAGTAAAAGTTTATCGGAATCGGCGGACTCCGAATCAACTATAAATCCTCTTGTATGTGTACTTTTCTTTATTTAGTACTAATATGGAACTATGAAATAAAGGTGTTAGTCAAGACAAGACGCCCTTGTGACCCCGCAGGTGGTAGATACCACCTCTTGCCTATTTCTGGTACGAAGCAGTAATGCATTTCCGCTTGAAGAATTCAACAGCGGTTGTACTACAGAACTGATATTTAGAACTCATGTCTCAAAGTTGGTGGCGGGAATTACGTTATTGATGTCCATCGTCTACGTCAGTGGTCGGGGAACCGAGGTAAATTACCCCAAATGGGGTAAAATGAAACATTTGGGGGTAAAAATGAAACTTTTATGAGTAAAAAGTATATATTTTCGTTTTTTTTTGTTCTTCGCCATGGGGTAATATCAACTTACACAAAAATATTTTGGGGTACCTAATAGCTAAAAAAGTTCCCCGACCGCTGGTCTACGTTAACCACTTAAAGCCAGGTGGGCCGTGAGCTAGTTCACCGAGCTATAAAAAAGTGAAATGGTTAAGTAACTTGCAAATTACGCCTACAATTTACAGATGAAAGAACGATGGACAAACAATATAAGTTATCGCCAACTAGTCATGTCATCTTGTGTCGGTATTTGCCAGTTATGGTGGCATCCGTACTTACATGACCTTCGGAAGCTATTGCCTTTCCTGTTTCTTTACAATGTCTTCAGCTTATTACTTGCGTATCCGCTATTCTATTTGGAACTGGCACTCGGCGTTGTTACGAAGAAAGGTGTTCTCCGTTGTTGGGACTTAGCACCCATTGCTAGAGGTATTCTACTTTTTTAAATACTGTACCACGATAAGAACACAGTCTTTTCTAGTATCTAAGATGAGCAATTGAGGTCTTTTTATCCGCCTAGTAGCTAGTTAATCTATATAGGTACCTACACCACGACTTTATTGAGGTTGTCGACTTTAATACATTCAATATCCAATTCTCATCTGTGTAACTGCTGTGCCTTCTTTCAAACTGGAGCGCATGATTGCTACAGAAAAGGTCAAGATGATATTATAAACACGTGCTTTAGGGAATGTTCGAATTATCGAATGAGAGAGGAAAGGGGGGGGAGGTAAATAATAGCATCTCGATTTGCGTTGGATCGAATAGCCGTATTTTATGATTACTGGCCAATCAAACTGATTTTGAGCTTCAAACTATCTGAACGTGTTTTATAAGCAACTCCTTTTAGTAGATAAAAACAAAAATCATATGAAATGAATATCAAACGATTTTACGCTTTCACGGCTTAATACATACTTTACAGTTTTTGTGGTCAGGCACAACTGACGGAAAATGTAAAGTGTTGAAAACGTCTGTAATTGTAATAGGTTGGGGAAAAAGTTTCTTGGCATTATTTAAGAGAATTCACAACATTTTTTAATATAATTTATTTACATTTAACTAAAGTATGTACCTAGATACCATTTTGTTCGATAACGTTTTAAATAAATAAATAACAAATCACACATTTTCTAATTTGAATTTGGAATTATCTTCTTTANAATGTAAAGTGTTGAAAACGTCTGTAATTGTAATAGGTTGGGGAAAAAGTTTCTTGGCATTATTTAAGAGAATTCACAACATTTTTTAATATAATTTATTTACATTTAACTAAAGTATGTACCTAGATACCATTTTGTTCGATAACGTTTTAAATAAATAAATAACAAATCACACATTTTCTAATTTGAATTTGGAATTATCTTCTTTAAAATTTAAACTTTTAATCATACCAAAACCAGCCAGATACAAATAGTATAGCCAAAGAGATTTTATTACAAGTTCATACATACTTTAATGCGAAAAGACTTTTTCCCCGATGACAGTAATAAATGCGAGATTATATGTACCGTATTAAAAAAAATATTTTAATTTTAACATGAAAAGAATTTCAAAATTGTCACAAAAACTTTTGTTGTTATTTGGTTTTCAGGAGTTGGCTTTGCTATGCTAGGATCGTGTTTGTTTACGACGCTTGCCCTCGGCTCGGTGGGAGCGTGGTGCCTGGCTTTGTTCGTTCACAGCTTCCACTCTTTCCTGCCGTGGCTACACTGCGCTGCTAGCGCTAGACCGGCGTGCGCAGCTAGACACCGACCCTTACCAAGCGACAGCGAAACTCCTGCGCATTCTTTCTTTTTGTACGTTGAAATTAAGCTTATTCAAGTTCCTACTATTATAACTGTAGTGTGAATGAACTATGAAGGTGCTTAAGAAGTAGGCAGCGACTTTTTTTTATTGCATGGGTGGATTAGCTCACAGCCCACCTGGTGTTAAGTGGTTACCGGAGCTCATAGACATCCAAAACGCAAATGCGGCCACCCACCTTGAGATATGAGTTTTATGGTGTCAGTATAGTTACAACGACTGCCCCACCCTACAAACCGAAAAGCATTACTGATTCACGGCAGAAATAGCCGGGGTGGTGATGCGAACTCACAAGAGGTCCTACCACCAGCAATTACGTAAATTATAATTTTGCGGGTTTGATTTTTATTACACGATGTTATTCCTTCACCGTGGAAGTCAATCGTTTAGATCTCTTAGTTGTCTCTAGCCCATGCTGGTTATTATTATACCTATATCGTAGGCTTTTCTTTCTGCAGTAACTTCGTGCTGAATCTAAAAAGAGAAGGATTAGAAGGTGGCCTCGGAAACATCGTATGGGAACTGGCATGGTACTACATAATCTGTTGGGTTTTGATTTATTTTGTAGCAGTCAAACGAATTTACAGCTATTCGAAGGTGAAAATGTGTTTTGTTTTACGAAACTGTAACTTGTGCATTACTAATATAATTTATACTTAGTATTCTTTAGGTCGATTCTTTTTAAATAAACCCACATAGATTTTTTTTCAGTTGGTAATGTATAAAGACCTGACAGCTTTCTTTTTATTGTTGTGCTGTGGAGCGGGTGCGGTGCGTCTGGACGGCGCCGGTCGGATGTTCCATGATTGCGACTGGTCCGTCCTATTTAACGGATTTGACGTAAGTCACATAGGCAGTCTATTTTGTGTCGAATTGACGGTAGGCACATATTCGACTCAGGCGACGGGCCAACGCAAAGCCGCCGTCGCCCGAAACTTGATGCCTATGGGCTCCAGTAACCACTTACACACCAGGTGGGCTGTGAACTTGTTCTCCCATATAAGCCAATAAAAAAAAAAGCCCGCCGGCATCGAAATTATTTATGTTACACTAACACAACATATGCCTTGTAAATAACAAAACATATAATGTATTTATATCTAGTACAAATCTTCCCAATTGACGTCAAAACAATAAGTCAAAATTAACAAATAATAACAAAAATACATTGAAACATGAAGATTCGTAAACCTACCTCGTAAAACGTCCTCGTCGAACTCTAGTGCACTAACCCATAGACATACCTACACACATTGAGTTTCTCGCTGGATCTTGTCAGCGGGTCGCGATTCCGATCCGGTGGTTGATTCTGTGAAGCAGTGCGTTTGCTAGGGCTGGTGTTACCGAATTCTCTCAGGCTGAGCCCGTGAGCTCACTTATCCGTTCGTGCGAAGCTAAAATAGCCCCTTAGGCTACCAGCGAATAGGTAAAGAAAAAAGATAGGCCGCCGCTTGGCACTCCCCCTCTGCTCCTGCTATTGCTGATATGCGTTAGCGACCGTTATTGCCTACAAGGGCAATAAAAAAACAATAAATCTATGAACAACATAATTTACTCCAATATAGTTTATTCCCGCTGAGCAAATAGCTTACATTAATTACGTAGCGGTGGAATAACTATGATTTTCGTGTGGCTTTAATTATAAAATGAAATTGATTAAATCTGGTTATTGCAGATTTGGCTCGAAGCTATTGAATATGCTTTATTACAAATGTCAATTTCCCATGGCACATTGATAATGTTAGGTTCTTATTGTCCGAAAGAGCGTCATAGACTTGGGACAACGGCAATGCTAGCTTTCGGAGCTTCTAAAATAAGCTGCATGATCAGCGCCTTTGTTCTTGGAGCGACACATGGAGCTTTGATGAAAGATTACGAAAATAGTAGCCATCTTTGGAGTGGTAAGCTTTTTTTTTCAAACGAAGGCAGATGAGAATATGAGATTTACACATCCAAGTTATATTAACTAAACTTACTACTGGTGATAGGGCCTCATGTGAGTCCGCACGGGTAGGTACCACCACCCCGCCTATTTCTGCCGTGAAGCAGTAATGCGTTTCGGCTTGAAGGGTGGTGCAGCCGTTGTAACTATTCTGAAGCCTTAGAACTTATACCTATCTCAAGATGGGTGGCGCATTTGCGTTGTAAATGTCTACGGGCTCCAGTAACCACTTAGCACCAGTTGGGCTGTGAGCTCATCCACTCATCTAAGCAATCAAAAAAAATGAATTAAGTCCTACCTTAGCGTTTTTATCGTGTAACAATTGAATTATTTTATTTCTTTAATTTCGTTCAGGGTCTGGATCAGCTATGATTTTGTGGTCGGAGTTCGTGGCCAGGGTACCCGGCAGTCAGTTTTGGTCGGCCCTACTGTTCTTTACGTTATTCGTGCTTTCAGTGTCATCAGCGGTGAGAATTCGTGTTACCAAATTATCTAACCACTACCATAGTTGTATTGGACATATTAGGTCTAACCTACAAACATGCCTTCCCAATAAGGATTTTTTTTACTGCTAAGCTGCTTTCTTGATATCAAGGATTTCTTTTTATTAAATACGAATTAGCGATTGAAACTTAAAATATATTCTGTATTTAATTGACAGGCGCTTTTAGTTCAAACTATGATGTCTACTTTCACCGGCCGCTCAATTAGGAAAATTGCGTGGGCATTTCACATTGTCGTCTGCTTGTTGTTTTGTTTTATTGGCACGATAACTTTATGTACACAGGTATGATTATGTATTGAAATTCAAAATACTAACCTAATAAATCATAGATGTACCTACAATGATCTTATATTGTAAATGTGAATGTTGCTTTTTTATTATCCTTCTTTTACTTAGCAACGAACGGAACGACATGTATTTTTTTACAAAATCTTTAGCCCGGAGTGTTTTTCATTATTATAGAATTGCAAATTAAATGCATGTGAAACCGTAAGGCACCAGTAGTTATTTTACTGCGATCTTAAGGTGTCATCGTCATCCGTAACCATCAATATGTGAAGGACGCCCACGTAAACAAACGTAGTTTCAAAATTTCAACGTTTCAAATTTCGTATTAATTTAACAAGGATAAACGAGTTCACATCCCACAAGGGGTCAAATGGTTACCGGGACCCATAGATATATCGTTGTCGTGACAACGTGAACATCCACCCAAATTATGATATGCATTCGAAGTGTCAATTAAAATTTAGAGCCGCTACCCCGCCCTTCAAACCGGAACTCTGCGGTCTCCTTGGTGGCAGAAATAAGCACGGGTTGTAGGTACCTAGATGTGTGGACTCACAACACGCCCAACAATAAGTAATCCAAATAGCTGCTGACTTTCTAAAGCTTGTACCCAATATTCTCAGGGTGGGCAGTACATTTTAAATTTCCTTATGTACTGGCCCGTATCCAAGCCTAGAGTGCCCATTGCGGCTGCCATTGCAGTTGTAGTTACCTACGTGTACGGCCAAACAGCATTTTGTGAAGACGTTTTCTTTGCTGTTGGAGAATATCCCGCAGTCTTCATGAGGGTGTGTTGGGCATTGTGGCCACCTATATTATTGGTGAGATTGAGTGTAATTTACAAATTATTTGTAGTTAATTAATGAGTCGTCTATTAAATAAGATCGTGGATATAATTCATACAAAAAAATGTCTGCTATTGTTGTATTTATTGCGCTATTAGGTCTTTTTTTAAGTAGGTACTTACATAACTTTGTGCATTTCCTAAAATTATATCAAAGTTTAAGGGTGAAACCCAAATCTATGTGTGAGTGGTTTATTTTAGATCTCAAATAACTCCTTTTTTCAATTTGATTTGTTTTGTTTGCTATTTCAGACCGTATTTGTAACGGAATTGGGGCTATGGCCATATACCGGAACCATAGCTGGCTGGCTAATAGTCTTATTCACTGTATCACCAATAGCGCTTGTTATACTATTCTATAGCGTTTTTAAATGTAGAGTACGGGTGAGTTTTTTCTACTTCGTCATTCAAATTGCTCTTCCAGTTTTATTATTAATCGATGGAATTTTGAATTGATCGTTATACGGCAAAAAAAATGGCCGGGTTCAGTTCGAGAAACTTTTTTTTTCCTACCTAAGCTGATAGCTTTGAGAGGCTATTTCAGCGTAACCTTAACTAGTAGGTGAGCTCACGGGACTCAAACCGGAGTGATGCTAACACTGGCCCTAGCAAGAGCAGTGCTTCGCAGAATCTACCACCGGATCGGAAACGCGACCCACTGAGATCCGGTGAGAAACTCAGTGGGCTGTGTGTAGGGGTCAATTCGCTCGTCGAGCGACGGGTTCGAAGACGGTGACCGGTGCTTGTGCTACCTAAAAGCAGCGTTAATGGATCGGGACGATCCGTAATGACGTGTTTTGGGCGACGTCGACTGTTTATCATTCGGTCTACAAGATCGGGTATGTTCGAGAATTGTTTGCCCACATTTGCGTCGGCCAAATTAAATAGGTATGAAAATAACGAACTGTTGATGAAAATACATCGTTTAAAAATGATAAAAAAAGAAAAAGGGAGATGACAATTTATAAAGCCTTTACATACATACATTCATTAATTAGTATTGAATTTATATTCAATCTTCGCGGATGACGCGGCCGCAGCTTGAAGTTGTGCGTTTGCTACTGCGACATTCCATAACTTAAAACAATCTTGTTACAGAACATTGTTCGTGACGGAAAATGAGCGACTGCACTGCACTACAAATATTGTTTTTAGTGTCTATTATTTTAAAATAAAACCAACGATCAGAATGACACAATATTTTATTCACAGAATTTTTCATAACACCAATAATATACCAAAATAATGTATTGTTATAATTATTAGTCATACACACAATATCCACATAACAACTTATACGATGATCTTAATGGATAATCGAAAATTGAAAATTAATTTTCAATGTGCCTTTCTTAAGTTTTGTCTTTTTCTTTAAATAATTATCCGTTAAGACCAGTAGGAGCGTTTTTTTTTAAAATATTATTTATACACAACATTTTGATTAAAATAGTTTACAAAGCTCAACATACAAAATAAACCAGGGCAGAGCGGGCTTTTAAAAAAAAAAACACTCCCGTTTAATTAATACAGCCTTGGAACTTACAACTAAAATTAAACATAACTTATAATGAAACCTCTCGTATAAAAAAATAATTATAAACATACCACAATCGTTTTAAAAGTATTAGATTCTAAGTAGATAGACCGCCAAATGATTCATTGTTTTTATTAAAATTCGATGAGTTCTATATGAAAAACTGGTTTTTGTTCATTGTAATATTTGTTTCGATTATGTTATTTGCTTATGATTAAGAGTTCCATTCATTGCACACATAAGCCGAGGGGAGACTAGAGTTTGGTTTTCATACTTTTGCCTTGATAAAATATTTAGTTTGTGTATACGCTTGGGCAAAGTTGAGAGGACTAGAATCTGAATTAACAGAAGAGTTTAGAAAAAATATTATTAAAATTATTATTTTTATACAGAAAGTCTGAACACCGTTAACCGATGTGCCAGTCTCTGTGAGATGCCCTGACACAGTAGCAATAAAGCAATAAAATATTATTTTAGATAAAAAAAATTAACTATTCACTCAATGTCATGAAAGGAAATTATTGGGTAGCTATTCAATTATTTAAAATTGCACGCACAGAACGCTTTAATAGTTGTTAAAAGAAATCGGTTATTTAAGTTAGTTAAAAATTACAAACTTTATAACTATTTTAGTGAGGTGTTTGTTACATTTGAGTTAATAGGTGAATCTTCTTAGATTCGTCCTAAGAGTTTAGGTATTCACAAAACAAAAACTTAAAACTCAGCTGCTAAATTAGCATTGATAGAAACGGATTGAAAAATACATCATTAATTTTGTAACGATTTAAATCACAATTTAGTGATTTAACGTTGTTCAGTACCAAAATAATAACGATGAGAAAACACAATCGCGATGTATCCAGTCAACGATAGATCAGATGTACTATGATAGTACGAACATCTCGCGCAATTTTTTTTTATTGCTAGATGAGTGGACGGGGTCACAGCCCACCTGGTGTTAAGTGGTTACTGGAGCCCATAGACATCTACAACGTAAATGCGCCTTGAGATATAAGTTCTAAGGTCTCAAGTATAGTGCGAGCGAGCGAGCCATGGAATGTCCAATACTTTCGGAGATACGGTCTAATTACTAAAGTTCTTCGTTCCAAGAGTATTTTAGGCCATAAAGCGTAATTAATACAATTTCCGCGAGATTATTCACTTTCATTGCGATTTCAAAAGCTGTTCTCTAACCTGTACCACGTCCACAAAACGTTACTCACTAAGCCCAAGCTTTATTTTTCGTTTCAGTTTTAGCAAGCACACGTCGGCCATTTAATTTTACAATTAAATGCAATTCTGATAATTATACTCAACATTATCATTACCGATGTGCGAACTGAATCAATAACTTTACGTATTGGCTTTCAATTGGCATTATCTTACATTAAAATTTACAAATACCAAAGGACTAAATAAAATAAGAAAATAACACAAAGATCGGGCGAAAGGCGCGACAGTATTAAGATTATGGAGAAAAATTAGGATTGGGATATTTATTATATTGCGGTGTACTCATTCATGAATATTATTAAGATAATAAAATAACAGAGAGCGAATATTTTAAGTTTACTCTACTGCTTATTATATTACCGTTTATATATTATTTAAAATTAAGCTCACGTATATTTCTAGGCTATTCTTTAGATTGTTAATTTAATTATTTAATCAATTATACGCGACGTTTTTCAGATGTTATCTTTGTTAGATTTTCCGGGATAACGCGGTGGAGATATTGCCTACTAGTTGGTCTTTCATGTGGCAGTTTCAGTAGGACTCAGTGGAGACACCCATAGCACAATTTGTTTAAAAGATTTTTTCAAAAATGATAGAAATATTTCAAGTTTTTGTAAATTTGCCATTAAAACCGCAAATGTTTCTTTTGCATCTATTCTGTTACGAATTTTCTTAAATAAATAAACACATATCCCGTGTGTTTAATCTGAAATTAATTTAGACTATAGGGTTCAAAACAGATTGGGAATTTCCAATCTATTAGAATAGATTATTAGAAATAACTAAACTTTTAAAGATCGCGTTAATACGCATTAATATGCCATTTTCAGTGCTTCAACACACATCGATTGGCACTTAAAACACAAAAAAAACACAAGCTGCTAAATAAAATTAGTTGATTTTCACACGACATCTTTGATCACTAATATAAAAGTATCAGGAACATTTAAACTACTATCTATAATTAAAATATATATTATGTAACAATTTAACCCTATATTATGTATGTATAAACAAATCGAAATGAATAAATCATAAGAAATCGTCACTCAATTTACTAGTTCGTATAATTTAGGAATCACAGCCGACTGTACATTTTCAATGCCATTCGCAAACAATATTCACGGCTCTTACTATGAAACACTTATCGATCCCAGTGACTTTTTATTTATTAAATAAATCCTCAATATTAACGAACTAATTTCTCAATTAAATAGTTTCGATTAAAATGAGTCATTCGGGAACTCTGCGCTCAGTCTTACGTCCCTGGGCCAACGTTTCTCAACCTTTTGAGTTGCGGTTAACTATACAGTCAAATAAATAAGGCGAACTCACTGCGAGGCGTATTATGACGTAAAATAATTTATTAGTAATTTTCACCAAAAAAAGTTGAATATTTCTTATTTTATTCGAGGTCGTCTTATAGCACTCGCTCGTATCATTCTTCGCGAGATATCTCCTGGCTTGCAGTTTCCAATTCCTAGCAAACTTACGGAGACCCGTCACTTACGCGATCCTCAGATTGAGAAACGGTGACCATGACATACGGTTTGAACGAATTGGACAAAGACACAAAGATTTCGTATCCTATACAGTTCACGGTTCCTATGCGCTATGATACTTATGATACACTAGAATCTTAAAAAAAAAAAAACAAAAAAAAACGAGCTCGCCCTACGTAAACAGTATTTTAAAATAAGTAAAAAAATAATAATAATGAAAATACACAAATTACATACGCAAAAATAAATTAACATACTTAACACCATAGTAATATTTTTGTGCAGTTTTAAAATACTATCCTATAAATTTTTTTTCTCATAAAAAGTTACATGTAATCTTTATTTGTGGATTGCTGAATGCGAATAATGCTAAGTACAAGTACTATAATAACGTACAATGAATAGAATTGAGTATAAATATAGTGAAAAAGATTTTCCTTCGTAATTTTTCGCAAAAGTTCGTATTTATCGTGCTCTCTATCTATCTCTTAGGTTTATGGCGTTTCCCTTTAGATTTCGCCAATGTCAAGTGTATATAATACTCTGCTTTCTATAGCGGGCTTCGTGAACGAGCAAGGTCACAGATAGTCACTAAGAATTAAGTGAGTAGCTAAGAATGTTTTATCGTGCTCTCTCAAATAGTTTCAGTACAATGACATTATTCATTTTGACACTTGACACTAAACAATAAAGTTCCATATTAATTGATATGAAAATGTCACTCATTTAATACGATCATTCATTAACAGTTCGGGTGTCATCGTATTCCGATAAAGATCAGTTTTTCCGAAGGAAAATTTCTCACTACATCTATAAGGAGTATCTTTGGGGTTAGCTAGATTTGCACAACTTATAAATTTTCGTAGCGTTGCTATTTTTTCTTTAAATATGACAAAATACAAATCTTATTGTCAATTTTCCAAATTTGGTGCAGTGTTGCCAACTACAAATTTTTATTTCTTGAATACGCACACGAGCAGGTCGTCGCCGCGTCTGCGAGTGTGCGGCAGCCGTTTGTTTTTTCCCAAACCCCAAGATTTCCAAAGGTAAAATTCAACCATAAGTTTATCGTTAACTGCAAAAACTACACACTTTAAAAGTACAATTATGTATTTAATAAAATCTTTCCAGACTATCCATATACTAAGTATAAAACTCGACTATCTACATAGAAACGTTTTTGGGACGAATGTAAATAATGTATTTAATAATATTAATATACCATTAGTTGTAAGGTTATATTTAGCTGTATTTCGATTATTCTACATACTTAACGACGACACATACTGACAACAATCAGGTTACAAATATAAAAAGGATAGTTAGTTAATATTTTTTTTTCATTCAACTATAAACTAATTAAAAAACTACATTTTTTTTTCATAAATTGTTACAACTGAACAGATGTGTGTGTTGTGCCTTTGATCGGTATTTATCGATTTTTAGGTTTAAGTCATGTATTCATTTGTTACTTCAACTATGCGTGACAGGTGCGTGACATCTAAAAGCTAATTTATTAAGCAATTTCACATCTTTTGGTCAATACAAGTACTCGCATACGAAAATCTAATAAGGCATTATACAGTATTGCCCTTAGGTATTGTGGAATAATTTTTAGATGACAAGATTTAAAAAAAAAAAAACAATTCAAACAACAATAACATTGAGATCAGAAGTTTTTTTTTTACATAACAAAGGGTAAACTGAGCGGTGACAAGTGGGACCGTTAATACGTATTATTAGGTAACGAAAACTAATAATAAATCTGTCCGCCAAACATTCACGTACGGTTTATGAGGAACTCCACCGAAAAGGAAGACGGGCGACTCAAAAAAAAAATCAATCAAATCAATCAAGATCAATGTAACAATTCACAATGCACAAAAGCTACACTGTAAACAAACACGTGTGGACAGGAGAGTAAAATCGTTGAGCCATATTGAGGGCTGAAATGCTCTTTGGTTTTAGCGACATTTAAACCTTTGTAATTGAAGGTGCGTTTTATTCGATATTGGCATCAATCGATATTTTTGATTCAACTTCAATTATCTTTATTCCATTCAGATAGGCGAAGATTTTTTTTATCGTGACATTTTTTCCAAATTTTAAACTTTAAATGGCTCTGTAAAGATACAAAAATGTCGCTTAAACCAAATGGCCTTTCCCCTCTCAATATAATGACCCATGCTTGACTTGGCAAATGAATATTGTATTAAGTTTGATTCCCTCACGCCCCGTATAACATTGGTCACATATTAGTTTAACCAAAAGTTCAATTTAAAAAAAAATCAAACATACAGACGCAATAGTATATACTAATGAGGGAATACCGATATACAGGGTGTGGAGACAACGGTACCGAAGTCAAAATAGCAATTATTTTTAAAATTAAAACATGGCATTGGCTATGTCATTTGTTTTTCGGTTTTGGTACTCAACTCTAGCCGTCTTCGTGATCGGTAATGGTTCCAGTACGTCCCCGTATATTTAAAAAAATCACACTCGCCACGGAAAGGAAATATAATGAAAAGAGTTGCAATTCGTGTTATCTAGACCAAACTTGCCTTAAATAACTTTTCAATGAGCAGTGAGCAACAGCTCATCTAAATAAAATTATTCTGAGATACCACTGAGCTCTGAATTATCTGTTAAAGATGTGTTATCAAAACACGTTAAGCTATCAAGATCAGAATACATCCTGTTCACAAAGTGTAATTTTAGTTTAATTAAATCACTAGGATTCCGTGAGATTTTGATATAACATCTTCATTATCAGTGGTTTGATACGCACTTAATTCGTAAACAGCAATTACTCTATAATTTCTTACAACTTCTTCATGCAACTACCTCTTATCTTTACAAGATATCCATTCGGATCTATATACTAAAATCTAATGTTATCCAGTGAATTACTTAATTTTACGCGATTGTGTCAATTTTGTAACATCTACACGTTCACCATTTTAAAAATAAACATTCATAATATATTATTTTTTTAATGTTAAAATGAAAATTTAAACGAACTACAAAACCATGGATTAATTGAAGTAATTCTGAAAAGTAATTGTAGCCTTTTTGTGGGTTTGAATAAAATCGATCATTTAATACCAATAATATTAAAAACATACGCATTACTAGACAACATACAGATAATATATTTTTAACACTTAACAACTACATAAATGTGCTTTAAATCTAGTGAAATCATCCCCATATCACAACAACGAAGGGCACTATTATCACTCCTTGCAATCAGTCCATCGAGCACCTTACCACCAAATATAATCACACACAACCCTATTTTACAATGAAATTGGTACAACTAACATGAATACCACTCGTTCTCATATCATTAATTTTCTTAATTTAAACACTTGACGGGGACCAGTTAGCTTTCATGCAACGCGTGGTAATTTCAAAGTGTTATTGTAAGAGCTTTCTAGTAAGAAAATTAATAAATTCTAAAACTAGGACGAAATCTTCATAATTACATATTCATTCCCTTCTGATTATTCAGCCAGTCTTTAGTCTTTCTTGTTTTTAAAGTTATCAAATACACATCAAATGACAAGAATTATGTATTTACTAACTTTTAAAATACTGCGTTTTATTTACAATNGTAATTTCAAAGTGTTATTGTAAGAGCTTTCTAGTAAGAAAATTAATAAATTCTAAAACTAGGACGAAATCTTCATAATTACATATTCATTCCCTTCTGATTATTCAGCCAGTCTTTAGTCTTTCTTGTTTTTAAAGTTATCAAATACACATCAAATGACAAGAATTATGTATTTACTAACTTTTAAAATACTGCGTTTTATTTACAATTTTTATTAACTAACAGTACAATTTGTTCACAAATATGTACACCACACCAAATTTTAATATTCATATGTATGATCAATATTCGAATAGTATGCATCATGAATTCCATATACTAGATATATTTTTTTACATTTTTTTATATATTTTATAACACCATTAATTCCATATTGTCAAGGACATATATTTACTTATGAAATACGACTTTTAGGCTCATAACTTGTAACTATAGTATAAAATCGTAAAAAACGCGTTGTTTTGCTAGGTTTGATCAAAGCAACGAAAATTTTGTACTAAAAGAAAAACCTTAATTATTTACAGACAAAATTATAAAGAAGCACATACATATAATACAATTTCAGAGACCAGCTTAAGATTCAGATACGTTTTTACACAATACATTTAATTAAAACACAAAATGTACACACTCTGCTTAAAACTTCATTAGTTTGGCCTATATATATAGCTATATACATTTTCAAAGATGAAACGGTTCATGTGTCAATTTTTTAACATTAACACAGAGTTCGTTGGATTAACAAGGCACAATCCGTAAGTAAAATTTATGTAAACTTATCCCAAAAGTTACATCCCTGCATTGTTTAATTTTTTTAAAGTGAATTAAAATCGAAAATAAACCAAATACACACAATTCATAAATTGCAATATGTACAATAATCCCTTGAGATAAATTTTGAGCATTTCAATTAGCTCAGTAGTCAAAGTCTTTCTTTGCTAGTTTATAAAAATCGAAACCCAATCAAGCAGTCACAAGACAACATTTAGTCATTCCAAATTAGAAAACAGTGCCTGTCGTAATTCTGGTGACCAATAAACACAGTTTCCGAAGCACATTTACATGGATAGAATGAAAAATCCAGTAAAATCCTTAAAAAATGTTCCCACAACATATCGCCACTACACACCGCACTGGTTATAAAACTGCTCACTAAGACAGTACACAAATTCGCTCACTTTGACTTACGATTGATACATTCCGAGGACGCTGGTTTTACCAGAAGTGCCCGTGGATGTTTATTGTTCGAAAGTAGAAATGAGCGAATGTAAACTCGGTTCATTCAGTCTTCACCGGCCTGTGAGGCAGAAGAGTGTCATGGCGTCTATACATGAGGAGGTACGGCATTCTCGGAGGTTTCGGCTTCAATACTTGGGCATCTGTTACTTGAGTGACAGTTGAATCATCATATCTGTCAACGAAAAGTTGATTGAAAGTTTCTTTTGTTAATCAGAACAATAGAACAACAAATTTATGTTTACTCAGTAGTGATGATCCACAAATATAATTGACATTAGTCAATTTCAGAGACGAAAAATAATAAACATCATTGTGTTTATGGCAATAGTGTAAATTGATTAAGACAAAAGTATCAACAATAAATACACTTTAAAAAAAAACCATCAAACAAGACTTTTTAACATATAGTTAAATATTTTGCACCATTGAAATAAAACTGAATTATGTGACAACTGCTTTCATTATTGTATATCTTGATATATTTACTGTCTTGTATTTGTGACTGTTTGGTCACAAATACTTAAATAAATTACTACTGCATTATAGTATTCCTCATGTAGTTTATGTGATATTTAAATATAGTAAATTTTTGTGTTTGCTGTATACAAAACTAGTTGTGTTTCTTTACCTTATCCATCCAGCTTGCCCATGATAAGTGTCAGTGAGATAGTGACCCTTAACTGCCTCAACACCCTCATGGTACACCACTGCAAACAGCTTATACAATCGCTGTTTTGTTGTGTACTTTGGTTTTGATGACATTATTTCTGAAAAATTTGCATAAATTGGGTATGGTGTACCTATATAAGAGAAAAAAAGGTGCAATTTTCTTTTAGTCACTCAGAACAAGTTGTCAACATTTTATGAATGATTTATCACAATCAGAGACGAAAAATAAAGTACCATCATAGTAAAATTAGTTCCTCTTTATGTTCTATTCTATCAGCCCACAGATGTCCACTGTTGGACATAGGCCTCCCCCAAGCCTCGCCACAAAGATCGGTCCTGCGCTGCCTGCATCCAGCGGACCCCCGTGGATCTCAAAGAGGTCGTCGGTCCATCTTGTGGGAGGCCTACCCATACTCTAAAGTTAATGTCTGCTATATTATAATTGTATAACACACACATTAATGTGGTTTATAAACTTACTATAATATAAATACGAAAGTGAGCTTAATTATTACACTTTAAATAAATATATATTGCATTCACAGTTAGGGATTCAATAAAAAACATGTTGATTGCATTTTTTTTACAATACTTGCTTATGCTTATTCTTATCTAATATTTAGCTCTTTTTTTAAAATATTAGCGCTTTAGAGGCGACTCCAAAATAAGTGGTAATCATCACCTTTCAAGTACAAAGGGTTAACTAATTATACAAAACTCACTTGGATCAATTTTCAAATCAACAGGGAAATCAATGTTCTTCACAATCTTAGCAGTATGTCCATCCTGGTCAAATTGGAAACACTTAAGATGCAACAACAATGTTACTGGGAGTTCTTCCAGAGCCAATTGCTGCCATGCATCACTGACACCTTCCAGAGTATCTTTTCCTGCCAATAATTCTAGGGCTTCCTTAACACTGGTTGCACGCTGTAAATGATGAAATAAATAGTTATTTTGTTTGGCTTAACCAAATATTAGTCATTATAAATAGTTTTAACTCAGTAGTGTTTGGACAACATTAAATTCAGAGATGAAAAATAATTTAGCATCATTGTGAAGATTACTTTATATTAATGTCCTGAGTAAAGTTTAAATGTTTTGGTTACCTGATTCTAGTAAAATCCAAATAGCAGGTTTTTTAAATTATAAATGAAACAAAAAGTAATTATTTAAGAAAAAAAAATTCGCCCAAACGACCGGTTTGGTAGACAAGTACACAGGGCTCAACCTTGGTAGATTTGACAACACTATCCTTAGCAAGACCAGTATTTCATTGAATCTATCACCGGATCTGAATCACGACCCACTGAGAAGATCCATCGAGAACTCGGTGTGTTGTGTCTATGAGTCGGCTGTCTTGTCTATTTCGTCGTATTCGAAAAGCTCAACGAGAACAGCGACCGGTGCTTGGAGCCTAAAAGCACCGAGAGTGGATCGGGAGGATCCGATAGTACATATTTATGGCGGCGGGTTTGTGTTGCCACGATAAGATGGTTATCGAACTGCGCCACTTTCTCAAAGAATTAATCTTTCAAAAGCTAGCAGATAATAAAATCACAGAACGGTAGAGCTTTATACACACAGATAGTTTTGTAATATTAAATATTGTGTGTAGATAAGGTGAGGCGTTTTAGTATTTTGTCAACATATGTATTCTTAATAACTGTTATTGAAGCTCAGTTTTGTTAATTTTACAATTAATGTTTTTGATTCATTACAGTGTTCCTTAACATAAAGAAGTTGGAATAAATTTCAACTTATATTCAGTAGAATAATTTACCTCAATATCAAGTTGTAGAGTGAAGAAAGGTTGCACGGCATCAGTGACGTCATGATGCTGAGCGCGATGCAGCCGCAGCCTGGTTCGTCCGCGAAAGATATCGGCAACGGGAGTACGACGCGCCGCCCAACGACGTTCCACAGCCCCACGGTTTCGGGGACCCATTACCTGTCACCCATAGTTATTATTAGTATTGTTTTGGAAGAATGTCACTTTCCAAGTTCCGACATCAATGAGAATAGGGCCCTGCCTATATTTTGAGACGAGGTCAGTCTCAATTGCATTAAAATAAATATTTAAGTATATTTACTAATATATACTTTATATACTGAATAATCTTTTTTGCATTACATTTGAAATAAAACAAAAAAATGCAATTGTATTTGAAATACTAATTTAAAAAGCAAAAACAAAAAAAAACGAGTAGATTAAATATGAATGAATACATAAATTTATATTTTACATTTTACAAGCAAATTTTTACATTTTACACAATTTTATTACGTCAGTACAAAAATTTAAACATGCATGCGGGATTTCAATTCAGTCATCAATCTTATCGTTTGATACTTTAGATACATATTTCCTTTTTAGATAACCTTAGGCCATGAATTTTAAAATGTTAGGCTAAATTAATAACAAAATTCTACTAACCTTCCATTCATCATCGTCATCCTCCTCTTCAGGCGACTGATCAGAAGTGACAATTCCATTGGGCTGGCTGTTGTTTTCTTTGGGCTCATCAGGCTCAACTAACTTCATCAGCTGTTTGGAAAGGTTTACATGTATATTTTGTTTATTGAAGTTATACTTCTTTAGGCGCGTTATGAAAAATTGATGAGAGTGAAATTTGACGGTGTTTACGAAGTTGCCCACTAAATCGCTCATTACAATACAACCGACGTAACTTGGCGAGTCTGAATATAGCCGCAGGTGAACTTTCGCGCATGTACACTCGTAAAAAAGTGTTATTAGCATTCATTTTTTAGTAATATAAATGACAAAATTATTATTTAATATAATTCATACTAAATATTATTAAATTATTAACGTTAATTATTTAATGTTTAAAAATTTTTTTTTTAAATTATAAAGTATAACTTCTTACGCGCGTACATAAGTACACGCACCCTTTTTTATGTATTTAGCTTCACTAATTGAGTGCATGTTTGTTTTCGATATGTCGCATATCTTATTAATGATATGTTATAGGACAGTATTTTTAATGTGCTTGTTAAAAAAAACTGGAGCTTCTAGTCTATACTAATATATAAATCTATAGTGGTTTATACAGATGTTCTGTTATAACTTAATAGATAGGCTAATATTTATATGAGTGTAGGACTCCCTACACCAGTTGCGCGGGAGTTAATGATGAGAATCTTTGTGGGGGTGAGAAATAATAATGTTAATTTTAAATGCTCAGCAAAGCGGAGCGGTACAGCTAGTTTCATTATAAAATACCTCAAGCATTTCATCATTGAGAGAGTTCAGAAGACAGCCAAGAAACTCTTCTGCATCTTCTTGTCTACCTTCCTGTGAGCCAGGGAAGGGTCGGAGCGCTCGCAGTACACGCAGCCCTGCGCCACCCTCGAGCGGCGGCGCGCCGGGCACTAGCGGTCCGGTGCTCGCCGCGCTGGCGTTGCTTCCACGACCGCGCCCGTTCGTTGTCGTCGTGGTGCCGTTTGCACTGAACTCGTAGCATAGTTCCACCCTTTTGAATAACACCTTATGTTGTATAACTTCAAATTATTTACTTAAAGCCATTAAATGGCTTCGGAAGTGTTTATAAAAATAGATGAACAATTTACCACCTTTCAAAGATTTGGTGTGAAGGAAACTCCCAGTTTATTGGTATACAGGCAAATTTTAAACTAAATTGTGATTGCAATTTTTAGGTAAATACGTAGCTATCACGTGTCCTTCCACAATAATGGAATAACTTTAGTGTGTTGAAATCTTATTCGCAAAATTCATAAGTTTATGTAAGTAATTGCTGTCGTGACGTACGATGAGACATTAGGGCAGATGGCAAACAACTTATTAAATTTTTGCCAATGCCACACTTTACACACACGGCTGTGATCTTGCTTTTGTTGAATATAAAAATAAAACTTACATGGAATCAATTACTGGTGTGCTGGATTTGCCGCGACGTGTTTGATACGGCAAGGCTTTGAGCAAGTTGTAGAAGGGAGGGCACGCGATCAACGCTTGCAAGATTGCATTTACATAGCAATAGTTCGAACGGTTAGTCAAACCGCGAGGCAAGATTGCGACCGGACGGTGATCTAGCTGATATTTAGTCAGAAATTCTGTAATATTATAAATTTTACTGTTATACATTAATAATCTGGAGTTGAGAATACGATATATAGATTAAATGAATTGACACTAAGAATTTCAAAGTGCGTTTAGCTCACCTCCCATTCGATAAGAATTAGGATCGTCGCTGAAAGGTGAAGGTTGCGGTGGCACGGCAGGGGTGGAATCGCGTTGTACCGGAACTTCACGCTGTTCGGCATGGGATTGGCCTGCCGTCGGTTTTGGAGTTATCATTGGTGGCGACTGAGTGCTACCAGAATTTACCGACGTCTTCTCAGAATACGACACCGCTGGAATCGAGGCTGGAACCGGACCATTTTTATCGGGAGCGGCACCCGGCAAGGGAGAGGCATCAAACGGTGGAACTTTGGCTACCGGTTTTTGCAAGTTGGGAGCGACAGGAGGTGAACTGGATATCGGGCTGACTGACTCTTCAACGACAGGAGCTGCAACTGCTGGAACGGGCGCCGGTGCAGGTATACTAGGTTTCGAAGAGAATAGACTAGCCCACGATTTGCCAGGCGCGGGTTGCGGTTGGGGCTGTACCACAGGCGGTGGTGGCTCGGTACGGTTGCGAGGTGTCGGTGGTGGAGGGAAATCGGAAGCCGTCGGTGCTGGTGGTGGAGGTTGAGGGGCGGGTGGTGGCTCTGGAGCTCCGCTAGCTTTTCGGGAATGTCCGAAAGGCGCTTTACTTGTCACAATCAACGGTTGACCCGCAGAATGAAGCGTAATAGATATTGGCATAGGCGCTTTACTCGGAGGTAGTGGTGGTTCTCTTTTGATATGCTCTGTGACCATAGATCTCTCATTATTGTCTCCCATATCATTTGATGGTGATCGATTAGATGTTCCTTCACGCTTTTGTCTGTTTGCAAACGGTGCTTTAGGAGTCGATACAGTCTGCTGGAGTGGAACAACAGTTTGAGGTGTCGCCGGTTTAGAGGGTTGTTTGCCGCTTGAAAACGGAGCCGACGGTCCCTTGGCCGACTTTCCAGTAGTTGGAGGTATCTTTACAGCTGATGCAGCAGCTGTGGTTTGTGGCGGGAAACTTCTTGCCACCGCCGGAACCTGGTTAGTGTTGGTAGCATCCATTTTGTCAGAGATTGAACTTGTTTGTTTTGAATCAATCTTTTGAGGAACTTTATCTACCATAGAAGGAACTTGTTTTACCTGACTGATCTCTATCGATTTTTCATTTTGCTTGGGACTGTTGGGCCCTTTGTTTGCTATTTTAAGATCTTTAATGGGAAGCCCATCAACGTTCGCGGAAGCGGTCGCAGTTGGCGGCGTACGACGTTCTGGTGTTTTGTCAACTGGTGTATAATTTCTGCCCTGACCTTGTACAAAGTTCTTGGCGTGGACGTTGAACTGATGCGGGGTATGGTGGTGATGAGGAGGAGGCTGCAACGGTGGCGGATGGTGAGGAGTAGGTAAGTAAAGCGGCGGGACGTATTCCACGGCTCCTTCTACTGGTGGCCCGTAAGGTGGAGCGGCATAATGAGCACTAGCATAATAAGCATCAACTGTTTCTTGTTCCATCACTACTTCAGGTGGATATTCTTCTGGGCCTTTCTCGGCATCTCCTTCTACAGGCATTGGGTACTCTGGATAATATGGAGGGTATGTGTATGGTCCATACACTAAAGGTTGATAAAAAGGCAAGTGGTAAAGGGGAGCGCCCTGCGCTTGTGCAGCCGGATAATATTGCGGGTACTGTAAATAGTATGGTTGGGGTTGATGAGAGGGGGGTGATGGCTGCCGCTTGCCGCGTCGGTCCCGTCGATTGGTACGAGGAGCACGTTCCTGCGTTGATGGGACGTACTGTGGCGTGGGCGGTTGATAGTACTGGCCCATATAACCGTGTACGTTGACATTCGCGGTGACCTGGCTCACGTACACGTTGGGTGGTGCTACAGGCCATTGCGCGTGCGGTGGTGGATAAGTGGGTGGAGGTTGAGCGTAGGGCGGCGGGTGAGGGGCCGGCCCGGCACCACTCCGCGCCGGCGAGTGAGGCGCCATCTCGCCCTCGCCGCCCGACAGACTATCCACGCTGTTCGACACGGTCGGAATTCCCACTTTGCTCGCACCAGAGGATCCACCTGGAATATTCATTTCAAGGGCTAACTGCATTTGGTTAATTTTAAATACACCATAAAATTTTCAATCACAACTTTTAAACATAAACATTTAGTAATATTTACCTATTGCAGGTTTCGTGCGACCAACGGTATGGGCCGCAGCGGAGTCCAATTTATTTTCAAATAGTGCACACTGCAGACTGCTCAGGTCTGCTCCCTTCACATCAGACAAGTCTAGGAACTCATATTCCTGAAACACAGAGCACATTTATTAATCTGCAATTATATTATTAAAAGGGCATGCCACCTCCACATACAACTTGCTACCAAGGAACATATAGAAGAATTTTTAGTGACAGTAACTATAACCAGAGCATAGACTTAGTGATCTGCTGCAGTACTATTTTAATGAAACTACAGTGGTTTTGATAGAGCCCATAGCTTTTACAATGCCATGACCTTGTTGTGAATTTATACAGTACTATTATTACATGAGATTCACAATTTCATACTATTTTAAGAAAATTAAAGGACATGGGCCACTCTCCATACATAGCACGGCTCACTAAACGAAGTTCAAGGACAGTAATGAAATTAAGTTTAAATAACGGACTATATATCCCTTTTATTATAAACGAATTAAAATCAATATTTCACGGGGATACAGATATTTAAATAATAAGATAAGAATTTTAGGTTATATCATATGATTTTGTCTGATCTGTCAATACACTAACATCGTCATCAGCTTAAATATTATTTATATTGCTATACTTTATGACACAGACCTAATTTAACGAACACCAAGACTTTGATAACGATCATAGAAAAGTATTTGCTTATAATTATTATGTCTCTAAGTCCATTATGCACAACAAAATATAATAAGCAGGTATATCGCAACGAAACAATAATATCCACAAAACGCAGGAGTGCGAAACCGAGTGATCAAATGTAAAACGTCAATAAACATTAAACAAGTTTATTTGTTTTTTGCTTAAGATCAATAAGTACTCATCCATGTATCTTATATATATTTTTTATATTTTACCTATGGCAACTCCTTCAATATTAGCAATGTAGCTTAGTCATGCTAATTTCTTTTTATTAATGATTTTAATTATCCCATTTAAATACCCTTCAATTTTATAATAAGTATGTAAAAATGAAATGTTATTTTTCTATAGATATTTCATTAATATCCTTGAGAGCATGAGTAGCTGGGCCGAAAATGGCCCATGTTCTTTAAATATAATTATATATATATGCAGTAGATGGTATTGTTTTGTAATATTAATGAGGTTATGACTTAAACAATCTGTAAATATATTAATAACTAATAACTAGTGGAGTCTGGTTGCACCCCTTTACCTAATTAAAACATTAATTTTACAATACCTCTCCAGAGTGCTAACAAAAGCACATAGGACAAATAATAACATTTTTTATTTATTAATATATTTTTTTACATATTTCATGTTAATGACCACTATACACTCATTGCACAAACAAGATGATATTTTTGTATGTAGAAATATGATGATCAGATGTTTATTAATTTTTTCTGGTTAAAATTCTATAATAGCAACCTGATGATGATTTAATATATTCTTTTTTGTTGAATTTTATTATATACTATAAATTTGTTTGTAAGCTAAATTGAGTTGATAAGTAATAGTTACTATTGTTAGTTAGTTACATAACAAACAATAGTAACTATTACTTTGTAAAAACTTCCAACTGGACGTCTAACATGGTCCCATTTATTAGAATTGAATAAAATTAATCCCCACATACATAAAATAAGACAAGCGTTTCATAACAAACTATTACAAAAAAAAAAACAATCTGGAGCCTAAAACCTTTAGATCTGATGTTCCCAAAAAATCGAATTAACTGTTTTATAATAGTAAATTATTATTTTATTAATATTATATTGTTTTGGGCTTGATATACTACAGCAGTATTATGTACTATTTAGTATTAATTTCATAATTAAATGCAAGATGTACATTGAGAAAAAAAAACCTGTCATTTGAAGAGAGACAAGGATTGCTTACTTTTACTTTTCTGCATACTTAATATTACTATCCAAAGTCGAATAGCAGATACAAACTTTGTTTTTTTATATCATATCTTCTAATTGTCTAACATAAAGTTAATAGAAAAAGTTTCTATATTTCTGAATAATTAATAAATTTGCTATCATCAATCTGCTTAAATAACAGTTCCAAGAGAGAAACGACTTTAATTATTTATTAGTTTGTGCATTTATTTCATGATTCTCATTTACTTTATCTCATGTTTTATGCTATTAATTTATTTACAAGACTGATAGTTTTATTACATTAGCTTATAAATTGAGATAAATATACTTTTTTAGTTGTATATTATTTTGACTTATTTATTTTTATTCAATTAATACATAAACATTACTACATCTGTGCTTTATATGTATGAAAAAATCATAATTATCAATGAAAACATATTTTCCTATAGAATAATGATAATTGCAGTGTTTCATCAGATCATATTCTATCAATTTAAATTTTATCATATCAGTGATGTTTTATCACCTTTAGTGTGATGTGTCTGGATTTTCTTACAACACACAAGAATGCAAAATCAAAGCAAAATAAATAATTTAAAAAGAAATCTAAATCAATAACAATGTATACCAACAATGACTGACACATGACATACTGATAGAAAACAAAAAGACAGAAACAAAACATTTTATTGGCATTCTTAATCGTTCGTTTTCACACTAAAACAATTTAATTACACACATTAAGGGATCAGAAATGGCAATTAATGAGAAGATAACCTTGAAAGGATCTGTAATTGTGCAAAATAATACACCCTGCGGTTGACCTGTACTGTCACATTTATAGGTTATCTATCTCGCGAGTTTGAGTCGCCAATAATTACATACATAAGCATTTATACACAATGATAAAAACGACTAATGCCTCATCTACCGTGCAAAATTTACGTTATGCAATGACATAGTTGCCGAATAAATAACAATAACATATCCATAGCACATGGCCCATTAAGTCGTGAAATGCAATATATTATGTACTTAAAATAACATACCCTGTACCAATGAATGTCGAATCAACTTCCTTTATTATCCCTCTATAATAAAGCATGATTTTCAGCGTCTAAACTTTTCTTGCACTAATGAAATGGTGCAAAATATGCGTATTATTTGGAGAACTATAAGATGGCGTAACAACGCTCGGTTGCCGGGTGCCATCTAATTATTGACAAATCAACATACTGGAGATTCCTATTGCGTAAACCCGAAACAGGACACCGTCTATATATCGTTTATTAGTAAAACTTACCTCCCACGTGCACACAATTCTGTAAAGAGATATTTTTTCTAATGTAATGGCCAGTTTCAATATTACCAAAACAAGAAACAAAAGCCAAACAAATGTTTCAAATGAATGTACTACAAATACGTAATGCTTACCGTTTTCATCAAATCCATGGCCTGTAAGAGAACACCATCACGAAATTTAACGCCGCAATATTAGTAATAAATAGCGGCGGCTTTTCTACAGTAAAATCTTAGACGAGATCGACGTCGAGGCCATGCACTCACCCAACACAACAGGATGTGACAAATAAATCGCCATTTTGTTCTCAGAAGTCAACCAATAAGAATCACGTATTACTGTCATAGAGTTCCATAAAACTAAAATCATAAACAATTTAAATTATACCTGAATGTTGTTCAATTACTCCATACGGATGTTCGTAATTTCTTCATAGACAAAAAGCGATTTGTTTTGAAAAAGAAATCACTGAGAATGAATCGGAGTACTCTGTGATAACATCATAGTACAGTTTCTCAGCCGATTCGATTCCGATTTTTGTCCAAGNACTGTCATAGAGTTCCATAAAACTAAAATCATAAACAATTTAAATTATACCTGAATGTTGTTCAATTACTCCATACGGATGTTCGTAATTTCTTCATAGACAAAAAGCGATTTGTTTTGAAAAAGAAATCACTGAGAATGAATCGGAGTACTCTGTGATAACATCATAGTACAGTTTCTCAGCCGATTCGATTCCGATTTTTGTCCAAGCTTATTTTAAGCACTACTTACGTTTCTTCCCTTTAGATTGTTACTATTCACCATGACGTAACATGCTCATGAATAACATTCCTTCTAGATTTTATGAAATAATAAGTGTAGTCCGGCCTCACTCCGCTGTACAACTGTTGTTGTTGTTGTTAACAAGTGTATGAAAAATATCGATATCTTGAAATTACTCGTGCGACATCTGTCGTACATTTTGGTCCTATACTTATCACTGTTTTTTTCTTCATATTTTTAGGTATAGCAATTGATTTCTCGTAACGCCATTTGCCATTGCCACGGATGAAGTAGTTTAATTTGGGATTTATTCATTAAAATTGTATTAAATTAAATGAGATATGGTGGGATGAAATAAAGTTTCAGTGATGAAATATAGGTGATTACACTTCACACAATTATGCTCTTCGCGTTCCCGCTAAAGCGTATTACTAATTTTAAGTGGTAAAATTTTAAGACTGGGCCTATCCAACTTAAATTAAATGCCAAAAATTAATTAAAAAAGGTACTAAATTCAAATTTCCATCTCAGGACCATTTCACTCCCTTTATAACATGTACATTCATATAATACCGCGTGCCACGCTAGCGCTAATTTATTGGGTTTTAGGTTGTAATTAGCTGCGCACTGGACACGTTTAGAACGTTTTAGTGTGTGATAGGTAGGTATCTATATTTTTTTGTATGTAACGGAATATTTGAACGGCATTTTCACAGATTTTATGACGTCAAAATAACTTGAAAATTAGTCCACGCATCAAGGACCGATGATTAAACAATAATTTTATAACTTTGCCCTAACATCCGGACCATGCACCGGACAGGAGCTAAGCCGACGACGAGGTGCCACTATTCTGGACACGACCTGGACACGGCGGAACATACGCTCGCTCTCTGCTCCGCTTAGGAGGTGCAGCGCCGTGTCCTGGTCGCAAAGATAGGACTGAACTTGTCGCTGCCTAGCTTCGTGCCGTCGATGCATGGCGGCGACGAGTCCTGGAAGGCTACTGGTGGTAGGACCTCTTGTGAGTCCGCACGGGTAGGTAACACCGCCCTGCCTATTTCTGCCGTGAAGCAGTAATGCGTTTCGGTTTGAAGGGTGGGGCAGCCGTTTTAACTATACTGAGACCTTAGAACTGGTATCTCAGGGTGGGTGGCGCATTTGCGTTGTGGATGTCTATGGGCTCCAGTAACCACTTAACACCAGGTGGGCTGTGAGCTCGTCCACCCATCTAAGCAATTAACAAAAAAAATGCTATGCTCGACTTCTGCGAGTGCACCATTTCGCGGAAAGAGACGGCGGGGCGAGTGAGGGAAAGCTCTCCTCAGTACGCAGAAATCCGCCGCCGCCAAGAAGGGGGTCGGGACCGGGGTCCCATCCGTGACCCGGCCCCGTAAGAGCTTCGGGCCCCATCCGTTTTATGCGGAGGACTCAAGCTTGGGGCGCTGTGTCAAGGCGGGCTCTCGGCCCATCGACCAAGGAAATCGTTGGTCGTGCCGTTTCGACGTCTGGGGAACGTAGCAGATCTAAAATTTTAATATTTTTCGTTACTTATGTAGTTAAAAATATGGATATTTACGTAGGAAGTGTTTCTTCCCTATATCCTATTTATATTATTATATAATTTAATATAAAGCAGCTTTCTTTAGAATCGATCATGTCATTAGCTTTTTCTTGAAATTGAGCACACACAGTCAAAAAATAGAACACACTTCATATTTAAGAATCAAACGCTAGCATTCGAGAACGTGTGTGCTTAGTATGTTATTTTATGATTGAATATTTACTGGTGGCCCGGAGGCCTTTCCAGTTTCACCAGGACAGGTGGGCGAGCAAAGGCTCAGCCAGGAGGGGTGGGATTTGCTAACAGCTACCCGAGCGCCTCTGAAGGAGACCTAACAGCTCAAGAGCAGCTGCTTCGCGAATGAATCTACTACCGGATCGGAATCGCGACCCGCTGAGAAGATCCGGCGANGCTCAGCCAGGAGGGGTGGGATTTGCTAACAGCTACCCGAGCGCCTCTGAAGGAGACCTAACAGCTCAAGAGCAGCTGCTTCGCGAATGAATCTACTACCGGATCGGAATCGCGACCCGCTGAGAAGATCCGGCGAGAAACTCAGCGAGCTGATTCATGGGTTAGGTTGCACGGCGAACTCTTTGTCGAGTTCGACGAGTAGGGTTACCGGGGTCCCTAAGCCTGCTCCTAGTGTTAGAGCTGAAGGCGTCTAATGCAAAGGTTATTGGATCTGATGGATCCGTAAGGACGTGTCTAGGGCGTCGACGGTGACTGGCTCCTGCGTGATGCTTAGTATGTACTTGGTGGATAGATATTTTGAACTATTTAGTTACGTTTAAGTTTCCAGCAACTGTTGTCCGCTATGAACAGTACCAGTCGTCAAGATCATCATAAACCACTAAAAGTTGCGACCGTTGCATCGAAACGACTGCAAGAACTAACGTAGACGACTACGTCTGCCAGTTTAAAAAAACTACATTTCTCAGTTTAATTTATTATAAACAAGGACTGTCAGTTATAAACTTTGGTTTTAATGACTAACAACCCCGAATCATTAAACAATAACTGGAATTTAAGATAGCTGAGACGTTATATCATTTCTTCTGCCCACGCTTATCTTAAGGTTAACCGAAGTCTTCTAATCTTTCTCAGTAAATGTATAAATGGATTACATTGAAATGTTTTCGAGAATTACAATCGATTCGAACGTGATCGAAATTACTCGATTTGTTGTTTCATTACAAACTAGCTGACCCGGCAGACTTCGTAGTGCCTCAATCGATAGTTATAATACTTAACTTTTGTATAAAATAAACTTTAAAAAAACAAAAGGAATCCGTCCGACAGGGGGGGGGGGACACATCAAAGGAAAAACAAAATTGTTTGTTTTTATATAATTCCAAGCATTTTTATATTTATTCACATTTTAAACCTTCTCTGGACTTCCACGAAAAATTCAAGACCAAAATTAGCCAAATCGGTTATATATATACAGTCAAACCTGGATAAGCGAGAGTTCAAGGGAGCACAATCTCATTCTCGCTTATAGAGGTTTCTCAGTAACCCGAGTTTCTCGCTAATGCTCCCTCTGAATTTCGATTCGCGATTTTCCGCATTCAAATGCATTCACTATTCACTATAAGTTTATGACTTTAATGACAGTACTTTAATTTTCCGTTTTTACATGATGCAGAACAGAACTTTCCTTCGCAATTGATTAATGATAAACTGAGTAAGTCCGACAAATAGGACGGTACACAGGCACACTTGTCCATTCGAAAATAATGCGATAAAAGAATACGATAAAATAACAACGTTATTTAGTTCCACAAAATAGAATAGGTTCAATATTCACGAGAAAACAATACAAAAACAATGATAGGAAGTTCCACGAAAGTTAAAAATGAGTCATCATAAAATAGCAGATGTTAAATTTGTAATTTGTTTTGTCATTTGTTCCTCCTAAATAATATAAATAAATAAATAAAGCTCGGCTGTCGTTTATAGAGGTATAGATAGGTAGCAGTCTCACTTACGGAGGTCCATGAGGAAAAAACGACTTTCTCTTACCGAGGTTTCTGTTTCTCGCTAATAGAGGTTTTGGGAGCTTAAAATAACGGGTCCTTGCTATTACTCTCACTTATAGAGTTTTCTTACTTATCCAGTTCTCACTTACCCAGGTTTGACTATATATATATAAATGAATTGCTGTTCGTTAGTCTCGCTAAAACTCGAGAACGGCTGGACCGATTTGGCTAATTATTTTATTGAATTTAATTAATTTAATTGTCTTGAATTATTCTTGGAAGTCCCGAGAATATATGTATTTGCTGTTTCATTTAAATGACCGGTGGTGGGTCGTATTGTAAGTATTGTAAGACCAGACGTGTAAGTACCACCACCTTGCTTATTTCTGACGCGAATCTGTCATGCTTTCAGGTTTGGGATCGACGTTACATAATTTAATTGAGACTTTAATCTCGGTTCTCAAGGTAGGTTTAGCCATTCACGTTTTTATGTCTATAGCCTCCTAACACCGGGCGGGCCATGAGTTTGTTCGCCCAACCACGCACTAAAAAAATATAGTAGAAATAAATAATTAACGGGTCAACCTTAAAAAAAAAAAACTTTAATTATATATAATTAAAACTACTTTTACGATTCAGTCGTTCAGCGTTTTTTATTTTATTATCTTTTCCGAATATTCGAATACATTACAGTTTTAGTGTTCACGGATGACTAAGGGAATAATACAATTACAATACGTTGAGATTAAACAGTAAAAGTCGTTTAAAATACTTAAATTCCATATTTAATTTTACCCAAAAACAATTATTTTAGAATAACGAAGACTCACGAAGAGAAAATGTTGAAGTTCACGAATAACTAATTAATAATTGTTACTATTTAAAATCGTATATGCGAGAATGGCTGTAACATAACAAATGTTCTAAATGACACCCGAAAAACACTCGATTCAACCACCTAAAAAATAACGATAATAATCAAAAGCGGATAAGCAAT